AGCAAAGGACCAGATTAAAAGAGCTCTAGTTTGTATGAATATTTATGCTAGAACCTCTGCCAGATCAGATTAGAAGAGTTCATCCTGCCGGGCAAATACGGATTCTGTTCTGAGATTTAATGAGAAACTGACATGTTAATAGCATATTGATGCATCCATTCATCAGGAAATCCATACATGCGTCTCGGGGCCCTGGAGAGGTGGTGCCTTTGCCATTTTTAGTTCTACCAGGAAGGTGGTTGTTACAATGAGAAGAATTCCAAAGACATCCTGCTTCACACAAAAGATGAGGAATGAGGGGACTCTAGTCTGAATATACCTGGGAAATTCCTCTCTTGACACTGCCAGTGAGTGTGTGAGAGGCTGATTCCTCTAAATAGTGTCTCCCAAGGAGTTTCTGTAGAGCATGATGACCACAGGGTGTTAATAGTTCTCGTAAGAGGAGCAGAAGGGGCTCTGGGTCAAAATCTTGGGTAAAAACAAACAAACAAACAAAGCATAGCTACAAAACAGAAACAGACTCATAGACATACAATACAAACTTGTGGTTGCCAAAGGGGCGGAGGGTGGGAAGGGATAGACGGGATTTCAAAATTGTAGAATAGATAAACAAGAGTATACTGTACAGCACGGGGAAATATACACAAGATCTTATGGTAGCTCACAGATAAAAAAAATGTGACAATGAATATATATATGTTCATGTATAACTGAAAAATTGTGCTCTACACTGGAATTTGACACAACATTGTAAAATGATTATAAATCAATAAAAGTTTAAAAATAAATAAAAAATAAACAAAATAGATGTGCAACAAGGATTTACGGTATAACACAGGGAACAATATTCAATATCTTGTAATAACCTATAATGGAAAACAACCTAAAAAATCTATAACTGAATCACTATGTCATACACAATATTATAAGTCAACTCTACTACAATAAAAAATAAATTTAAAAAATAACAGGGAAAAAAAAGATCTTGGGTAAATGATGAGCTGAAAACACTTGTTTACGGCAGAACTTTTAGCCGGTGACTTTCTAGGAAGCAGAGAAATTACACTGTGCTTCTAGATTTTTTTAGACAATGGAGTTCTTCCCTCTCAAAGCAACACATCCCATAGCACACAACTTTTTTTGTGTTATGCACCCGCCTTGGCAGCCTGGGGAAGCTGGGGACCCCTTCTCAGAAGAACATTTTTAAGTGCAAAAAATAAAACACAGAGGATTACAAAGGAAACCATTTGTATCGAAGCCAAATATCACACTACTAAAAATATTTTGAAATATTAAAACATGGGCATACATTAATATATGTATTTCTTTTTTCATGGGTCTAATACTTGCAGGTGTTTCAAAATACTGATGGCCATGAATGATATTTCAGGATATGGTCCTTCCTCATTATTCACAAATTCTGTATTTGTGAACTCACCTACTTGCTAAACTTTATTTGTAATCCCCAAAATCAATACTCCTGGCACTTTTGTGATCATTGGAGGAGTGAAAAATTTCAGTCGCCAGACCTGCACGATACTGGCTGAGGTTGACTAAAGCAAGACTCTGCCTGTGGTTTCAGCTCTCATATTGTGAACAACTGTCCTTCTCTTAGTGTATTTACAGCCACATCTGGGGCATTTTTATGCTTTTTGTTGGTGACTTCACTGTTTAAAATGGCTACGTTCAGTGCTGAGTGCTATCTTGTGTTCTTAAGTGCCGGAGAATGATGTGCCTTATAAAGAAAAGAGACGGGTAGTTAAGCTTCACTGAAATGAGTTTGAGCGCTTTTGGCTGTGAGTTCAACGTTAATCAACCAACTATAAATTAAACAAGATGTCTTTAAACAAAAGCCACACATTATAAAAAGATTGTGTATTGATTGGCTGACGATAATTTTGTGACCACAGGCTCACAGGAACATAACCCTGTAATTTCCCCTAGGAGCAATGGTCCAGCATTTGCTAATTCAGTATTCAAGGTGACTTTATAGAACATAACTGCTCTGAATGATGAGAATGGACTGTATTTGCAACGGATGTAATGTGCTATGAAAATATATGTGACAAAGACAGATAAGAATACAGCGGTAAACATTCAGTGTTTTATAAAAATACAGTGTTGCCTATGTTCATAATTAAAGGAAATGGTGAATTTTACTTAGAAGGTAGTAAAGACAATTTTTCCCATTCAAGTTCATAGGCACTCTTAATTCTGGGGGAGGGTGGGGTCCCCGTACACCCCAGTTCAGAATCCCTTCTCTAGTGGTATGAACTCAGGGAGAGGGTGGGGTTGTGCAAATTCCTGGGGGCTCAAGTTCTTCTACGGTGTGTATCAATACAAGTCTCGTAAAGAATTTTTAGCTGCTTTGCTTTTGCTGGGGGGTGGGGGAGTTCTGAAAATTTTTTTCACCAGGGCCTGAACCCAAAAGGTTCTACCAAATGAAAGGTGCCCAGGGATGTGGGTGGGGATAGAAATTCTTGATAATTACCCATGTGGAAAGTGAGGAGACCCATTTCAACAGAACAGGGTAAGAGAACTCTTTCATCTGAAACTGGAGAAACAAATGACAGTATAGTATTGGGGTGTTTAGATGAGGACCGTGTAGGGGCCCTAAATCTCCCCACCAAGCGTGCCCAGAGAGGAAGGCATCCTCTGTGTTGATCGCTCTTCTTTCTCAGTCTTCTCACCAGAAGAGTGTGATTCAATGGGGCTAATTTAATATGTCAGAAAGCAGCTCCTTGTTTCTAAATAGAAAGAAATCAGGAAGAGCAACCTGGAGAGCAACTTTAAAACCTCATTCATTCATGCACGTGCTCACTCAGTACTACTTATTGAGCCCCTCTCCTGGGCCAGGCATTGTTGTAGGGCTGTGGATACAGGAGTGAACCTGACCGGCCAGGTCCTTGTCTCCTGGAGCTTCTGTTCCTGTTCTGGCGCTTCTCCCCAAGAGCCACCACAGGAATGGGGCAAGGGGATGGAGAGGGACGCAAGCCACCCCAAGAAAGCCCTTCACGTGCCTCTCAGAGGCCAGCCAGCACTCACACACTATGATTCTGAAAAACTGGAGGCTCAAGGGGCACCAGTGCAGAAATAGGGGATGGAAGCTGTTCTCCGCAGCTCTCCTGTAAATTCTGACAGTCAGAAGCTGTAAGAAGTATACACAGCGTCTTTTAGGGACAGAACATCCCCAAGCCAGAGAGAAAGACATGGTTAAATCTCAAAAAAGGGGAACATGTCTGGGTTGGTGTGGAGTATAGAAAATGGAGCAGATGTGGACACAACTCACACATGGGCTCCTGATCCGGAGGAGGGCACCTGGCCTCGGACTCCAGTTCTTGAGAAGACAAGAGTGGTGCTTAGGATTTATTTTGTGCTGTATTGGTGTATTATAAAAAAAGTGAGCTGGCAGCACTGTCCTCTCCCAGCCCTTGATTTCTTGGTGCTGTACCCCATGAGTGAGGTCAGGGCTCAGAACTCGGTACCTCCATCCTCCCACCTGAACCTGTTCAGGTAGAGAATGAGGAAGATGGAACTGGTTAAATTATCCCCAAGGTGGGGGGTTCAGTCCCTAAGAGAATTTAACCAGGAGAAAGTGGCAGGCAGAGATGGCATCTAGGGTGAGAGACAGGAAGCGGACAGGCTGAGGACAGTCCAGCCTGGGAACCCCGTCCCTGTACCCCCAAACCTCTCTCTCTCCTCCTTCTAGTTTCCCTCAACTTTTAAAAATAACTCTATTCCTTCAGGGCCTTCTGGGAAAAGATCAGGGCCTAAAATGAATTCTCCACCCCTCCCAAAACAGCAAAAGCAATACAAGATTATCAACTTCACTAGTACTCTGGGAACTAAAAATCAGAATAGCCATAAAGTAACTTGGAAGCATTTTAAACAAAGAGGGGATTGAACAGAATTCTTTCTAAAGGAATACAGAATTCTACTGCAGTGTTCTCTGGGTGTATCTTGAGACTGCATGATTAAGATTTCAGATAAAAAACAGTTAACAAAACAACACTACAAGTATTGGCATTTTAGTGCTTAGAAATAAGATGAGATGTTGGAAAACCCAAACCACTAATGCAATTACCAAGATCCTATAAGTGGACACATCCTTCAGGAGGAGCTGGGTATACCAGGTGTCCACAGCCCAACACTTCCACACCTCACACTCTGTCTATACTCAGAGTTTGTATTTCTTGCTTGAAACAAGCAGCCTTCTGAGGGCTTGTTGGTCCCCTGTTGATCTACCTCCTGGGACATGTGCTGGTCATGCTGAGCCAAGGATTCTATCCAGGTGACAGAAATGGACAGGTTGACAACATTTGAAGTGTTTCGGCCCTCAAAACTGAAGCTCATACACAACCTGGCAAATTAATCTTGTGAGCAGAAGTAGATTTACTAGAAATCTAAGAAAGAATGTTTTCGGGTTCTTCCGAAAGCCCTGGAAGGAGCCCCAACAATGAATTTGCATGGCCATTTGCTTTGTAAAATGTGCAAAAGTAAGATATTTTAAACACAGCTGATTCCTCTCTGTCACAATTTCCCATATATTAGGTGGCTCTGGGGTAGCTATGGGAATCTTGGGGAGGTTGAAGCAGAGATCCTCTTAGGTTGGGTTTAGGTTGAACTATTAACGTGGTTTGCAGTCATTTCTGTGCACAGTTAGATTATTGCTAGCCATCCTGGTGTAGGAAGGACTTCCAGGTACTATCCCAGTGTCCACCAGCACTGTGACAAAGGTGCAGGGCTAGTGGTCAGATCACAGTATGAGAGTACCCTACAGCTCCCGGCACAGGAAGTGTGCGGGTCATGGAGGAGAAACAGGGTGTGAAATGCACAAAGCCGGAAGCTAGTCTGTGGTAAGGTCTTCCCATCATTGATACAGTGAGTGGGAGATCTGGTTCACACTAGTGACTTGTCCAAATAGAAGTCTCCCCCTATCAGGAATAAATAAATAAATTTAAAAAATAAAGGAAATAATGAAGCATACACAATTATACACATACCGTCATTATAATTTTGTCTTTATTGAGACAGAGATTTGGGTGCAGGTGGTTTCTTTGGGAAACCAGCCCCCAAAGTTGGAACACGGAAGTGAGAAGAGTGACACAAGGAAGGAGGAAGAGTCATTTAAGGCAGTCACTCCTGTGAGCGAAGGGGGCTGATTCTGCTGACACCCCCTAGAAGCACACAGAAGACTTTCCCAAACTGAGCACTAGAGGAAGAGGCTGGCGCCTGTATTTATTGCCCCCTGCTGCGATCAGAGATGGGCCGGGGGGTGACACACCAGTGAGAATATGGTGCAGTAGAACTGAACAGAATTCCTGAGCTTATATGGATGCAACGCTTTAACAGCACCACAAATAGGGAGTGTGTCTTTAATAGGTCCCACATAAAAGAAATTTGATAGAGGTCTTCCTAGTTTGCCAACCATCCTAAAAATGTACACGACTTTACCAATAATGAGTTCTGTAGCTGAAAGTAACTTTTCTAAGCTATCAAAAGCAAGCAACAAATTTTATTTTTCTGTTCTAACTATAGACAGGGATATCACAAAATCATTGTTATAGGAAGAGGCGATCAGATTATGCTGCCAAAGAATGCAAGGACATCTTTTAAATAAAGAAAAATTGTCATGTTTTCCCTTGACTTTGTGGGGTGTATGGTATTTGTCAGCTTTTACAAACTGTAAGCTGTTGTGATTTCTTTTCTCATTCTAAATAAATATTCAAGTTTGCACCTAATTTTGTGTTTACAGTTTTGTGTTCTGGTGTGAGAGTCCTTGGCAGCCAGCCAACAGTCTTCTGAGGAAGAGCCATCTTTAAGACGTCAACCACAGAGGGAGGACCAGTTCCCTGGCATGCCAAGACCCTGGGTAAGTTGCTGAATGTCACTAGATTTCTTATTTGTTTTTGGAACAACTAGTCATTCAAAGGCACAGATAGATAACCTACTGCTTGGAATGGCACTCAAAGCACTCTATTAAAGGTTATCTGAGGTTCAGCTGGAGGGGGACTGATCCCAGAAGCACACAGAGTCACACCGTCATTTAGATAAGCTCTTAAATGAGAGAAAAGCATTTTGCAAAGATGCTGCTAAAGAGGTTCCTGTGAGTTTGTGACTCAGCAGCCCCAAGACCGTTTGTTGGATCCATTTACCCAAGTTTCTGTCTCCCTGAGCTCCCCGGGAGCATGTGCCCCCGCGGGACTCAGTGCCCCCCTTGGTCTCCGAACACCTGCTCAATCTGGGGGTTGAACGGGTTCTCCTTTCCCAGGATCTGGGGCCACTGGAGCTGCACCTTTTTCCAGAAGTGATCTGCCACCAGCTGTAAAGCCACCTGCAAGAGAGCACCCAAATGAAGAGTAAAAGGGAAATTATGACAAAGAAAAGATGTTTCCAGTGAGATTTACTCTATTCTTTGTGTGGTGGACAGACTCCAAGATGGTTCCTCAGGTGGGGCTGGGTCCCGAAGGAGGCTGTGAGCGGTGGGGAGTGTGGCTGGAGGGCCAGGGGGAGGAACTGTTGGCTTAGTTCACAGCAGGCCTGTCTCCAGCTCGCCCAGCCTGATGCCTGCTCTCTGGTTCATTGTTGTACATCCTTTTGTTCACGATGTCAGCAGGATCTATCCTTGGTTGTTCAGTCCTGTGGCTTGTCATTAACATGCCTTTGATGAGAAGTCTTTCTCTGCAGATAATGCCCTCATTTAGCAAATGGGGCCTGGAAAGTCCTCCAGGGCCCAGATGGCTACATCTCCACAGTGGGGGAGGGGGGTTAAAGCTGAAGGATAAGAGAAATGTGATTGCTGAGGGCCTCGGAGGGGAGCACTCTGTTCAGGGAAGATGCTCAGGGATGTCCTTGACTTTATGAGAAGCACATGGACATTGTCTTCAAAGGGCACATCATGTTCATTCCAGTGAGCCGTGCCGCCTGCTCCCTGTGATGTAGGGCAGCCCTCTTCCACTCTCTGAGCCGAAGTTCTCTCATTTGCAAAATGAATAAATGATCTAAAGACCTATCTGGGTCTCAACTGTGTATAAGATTTTAGCAATTGTTAGAAAAAACTAGAACTGGTGAAGTCGATACATTAAATATCCTCAGTATTTTAATATGTTCCTGAGCCTTCGGAGGTGGACCCAGATTCCATCCACCGAACAATATAATCGTGATCATATCCATGTGGTGTCTAGAACAGACACACCCCCAACTGCCCCCCGACAACACATACCACACACACACACACCCCTTCACGTACCAACCCCCACATACACACATACCACACACATACATACCCCCTACTCCCAAACAGGCTGTCAAGCTAGCAGGTGTCCAAGAAGGGTCTGGTCGTCTCACACACTACGCAATCAGTGTCCTCGCAAACAGAGGACTTCTTGTGGGCTGTGTTTCCTGCTAGTTCTCAACAAAGTAGGCTGCTTCCAGGTCTGTGAAAAATCACTAGTTCTTCTTTTTTGTTTTTTTTTGCCTTTCAACTTGATACCCCTAAGCAGTCTTCCTAACAATTATGTGGTGCCACGGCGTTTGTGGTCATTTATTTCCCAGTCTAAATTAATATGGGAGGAGACGGGGGTGAGGACAAGAAAAGGAAAGTTAAAATGCAAGAGCTCAGATTTGAGCGGTGGTAACTGTCTGACTTGAAAGCAACTGGTTGGCTGCCACTCCACTGGAGATTAAACTGTTTATGAGTGTGCACTGCTAATATTTTGGATCTGAAATGAGAATGGCATTGTTATTACTAAACTAGAGACGTGATAGAATGGCCCACTATAATCATTCATTCCTCTGAGAACGGTTTACTGAGAGCACCAACTGTGGGCTTTTCTCACAACCAGCCTCCTCCTGTCACTCCCGTGATGCACTGCACAGGGCAAGGCACTGCCATCCTCATCTCTCCCAGTGAACTGTTCTTTGAACACAGGCATCTTTTGTGGTTCCCTATTCACAATTAAAAGTATCAAAGCGATACCTATTCACCTGAGAAAAAATTTAAAAAGATAACTGAGCAAAAAGAGAAAAACAGAATAAAATTATCTTAATTATAATAGAGATAGTCACTCTTAACATTGAGTGTAGAGCCTTTGGGAGGCCCACACGCATGCACACACACACACAACAAATTGGATCCTTCTGTAAATACCATTTCATAATCTGCTCTTTTTGAGGTATAGTTTACACACAGTAAAATTAACTCTTTTTGGCAAACAGTTCCACACGTGTTGACAAATGCATACGGTTGAGGAATCATCCCAGCAGTCTATAATCTGCTTTTATTTCCTTTGCTCTATATTACAAACATATTTCTGTGTCACTAAAGATAGATCAATATCAATTCGCTGCACAATACTCCATCAGATAGATGCAAGCTAATTTATTTCACTGATGGAGATTTTTTTACTACACATCTCCCTAACACCTCCCCTCAGTACAGGGCATGGAGGCAGTTTCCTCCTGCCAGTGCGCACAACATCTGCAGCACCGGGTGGGTGTGGGGGTGGTTCACAGGCTGCCTCAGTCTCTAACCCTGCTGAACACATACATGGAATGAAACCTGGTCCGACATGAGGTTCCAGTTAAGTGGAATGTTCTGGTTAACAGAGGCAGGCCCTTCCTGGTCTCTTCCTTTGCAGTTGCCTCGGCTGCCTGCGCTCTTGCAGGGCCCCAGCTGCAGAGCGTCCAGATAGTTGCCATGTGGGCGGTGCTGCTTTTGTCCAGACATCGCTGCCAATTCGAGCAGGTGTGCCCTTCCTCCGGGTAAGTCCCCGTCGGACAGGCCCTGGTGCTGTTCTGCAGGTACCCCTGCACCCCAGTGCTTCTGTGGGGCACTGCCACCCACCTGTCTGCCTGCTGCTGATGGTCATTGGTCCACTGCGAAGTTCCTCTTGTTCCTCTTGGACACTCTCATAGAAGAGGGGACAAAGCAGGGCAGCTTAACACCCCACTGTCTTATGTAAGTTTCTATATAAGAAGCAGCTCTTTCAGGTTTTACCTGCAGCCCCTGATCCCCCTAGAATTCAGGCATGAGTCCATGGAGAGGGCAGTGGGAGGGGAGAGACTTGGTATCATTTCTTGATTAGGACCTTGGTGGCAGCCACCATATGGCTTTTAGAATTTTTTCTCCCTTCTGATGACAATTTAGAATCGAGCCACGCTTCTTTGCCTAACCATAGTTATACTTATAAGTTCCTCCCTTGGAGAGTACCTGGCCTTCCAAGCAAATCGTGTCAGATCCAGCCCACATGCTCACGATATTCTCCCATCTCCAGGCATGTCAGAAGCCCAGCAGCGGTCGTAGCTGGACGTAATCTGGGATTCCTCCACACTCCCATTTTGTAAGCTAATTGTATGTGTTTTGCTACAAAAATAGAACTCTTAAGACAACCGTAAAACAAACCCTAAACAGTAACTACCTTTTTGTAATATTTTTAGAGAATAAACGAATTCAGAGGAAGTCTGTACAGATTTCACCAACAATTTATCATGACTTGACACCTTTTAAGTTGAACTCTGGCTAAATTTAACTCTGGAATTCTACCAGACTGAAATTAAAAATCCACTCTGGATTTATTTTTCCTGCAGGAAGAACGATTCCAGGCTACCTCGGTAAGATTGCTTTTAAATACCTGCAGGGAAGCCCGCACCACAGGGAAGGCACGGCTTTACTTCTCTGGCCTCCTACTCCGCCCAGAAACAGAGTCTGTTAGGCCTGGTTACTTTCAGTCCCAGTTAATTTTAAATTTGTAAACTTACAACAGGACAGTGGTATAAGACGCATTTAAACACATGTCAGGAAAAATATGACTCGGTGTGTCACCACCAAAACCATTGCTGCCAGTTGGTGGATAAAGCAAACTGAGCAGACGTGGTCCCTGATGCACTGGCAGGGCCAGCCTAAGTGACTGTTTGAAGGTTCCCTGGCCCAGAAGGCCCTCCCTCCTCTCTCCCCACCGCCAGCAGAGCTGCTTTTTGAGGGATTCCACAAGTCTGCCTAGGACCTTAGGTTCCCAGGGGCTTTCATGTTGAGATAAATAAAAACCCAGAGGCTATTAACTTATTTAAAGCCAGTGCACTGATTATATATCTGATGCCTGCCTCCAGCAGACAGTCTACAGGGTTCAAGGCTCAAGAAAGGAGGGGGATTGATGTCATGGAAAATTCACTGCCTGCAGGAAGAGTTTGAAGAGGATGATTTGAGGTTCTACCTGCAAGATGAGCGGAGAGGAGGCTATTTTGCTGAAAGCTTTGTTGGACGAAGCTTCTAAGGCAGGAGATGTCAAGGATGTTTGGCTAGGTGGTCCTGGCATAGCCAAGGCAACTGGACTTGATGTATGTTTGTGGCTCTTTTAATATTTTCTGTTTACTATTGTCTGATTTTAGGCTTACAGATCCTTTAAGTGCCTTTTCAGATACTTAACTTTGCAAAGGTTTTAAAAAGTGGGCATTTGAACAGGTAGAGTTGCTGTAGCTCCCTTAGGCCACTAATCTGGGTCCTGGGTCTTTGCCATGATATTTCTTTTCTAAGATGAACTTTCTTTGCATTTTGTCAGCAGTTTGACTGCTGTTCCCAACTCTCTGCTACACATGCTTTTCCCTGGAGGCATCCAATGATCTTCTAGGTCTTTCTAGTGGGTCCTTCTGTGATGGGCAGTGGTTCCCACCTTTCACATCAGTGTAATCCCTCTCCTTCTGAGCATGGTGGGACTTGTAACTTCCTTTTAACTTCTAGAATACGGCAAAGGTGCTGGGATGCTGTTACATGCAGTGGTGACTTCTGCCTTGCTAGCAGATTGTCTCAGTTGCCATTTTGGCTTGGACTCATTGTTGAAGCAAGCTTCCACGTTGCAGGGCGAACCACGGGTGGCTTCTGAGCAACAGGCCTCAAGGAACTAAATTCACCCAACAAACATGTGTGTTTGGAGGCTGATCCATGTCAAGCCTTCAGATGAGACCCAGCCCCGGCAGACACCTTGATTGCAACTTGGGAGAGACAGTGGAGCAGAGGACCCAGCTAATCTGTGCCTGGATTCCTGGCCCACAGAAACTGTAAGCTAAGAAATGTATGTTGTTTTTAAGTAATTTGGTATGCAACAGTAGATAACGAAAACACCTTCTCAATCTTCATCCTCGGTCTATTTCTTCATAATTTGATCCCTTTGGCCAATCTCATCCCTGCCATTCTCTCCAGCTCTCAACTAGTGGCTCCCGATTCCTCACAGTTGAAAAGGTCCAACCCTGTACAGACTTTATGTGATCTGTCCCTGAAAACTTCTCTTGATCCTCTCTCAACTCCACTCTCGGCTCTCTGTCCCAGCCACACGGAAGCACTTTTCTCTCCTCCTGTGTGCTGTGTGCCGAGCTTTCTTTCCTGTTCAGGTCTTTGCCCTTGCACTTTCCTCTGCTCACAACACTTTCTGCAGCCCTCCCCCCTTTCCTTTCACTTGACTAGTTCATAGTGTTAGTTCTGAGTTAGCTCCTCTGAAAACCTGTCCTAGCACCCCTCTTCCCCAGAACGCCCCCACAGCATCTGTGTTTGCACAGCTGGAGGCACTGACCACTTTATGTTTAATTATGTATTCACATGTCATTCTCCCACTCTATCCTGTCATCTCCTTAAATGGCCAGGTTTCCTGTTCACTCCTGAGTGCTCACTGTGTTTGATAGGAGGTAGGCGCTCGATAAATGTCCTTGGATGGCAATTTGACACCAAGACCGTTCAGCTTGATATACATGATAACCAGGCAAGCTTTAGGCATATCTATCCACTGTCACCCTTGTTAGATGTGGCTCTGCCACTGTTGCACTGTGCCACCCACTCCCAGCATGTGAGCGAATCTCTCAGGAATAACGTAAGATTACGGACAGCACACAGCCATTTTCAGCTTTTGACTCTTGTTCTCAACAGTCCGTTATTTGGCAAAGCTGTTCGAGTGCAAAATAGAGCCCCAATTTGACAGACTTTGAACCCTGGTATCATTTTAAGAGTCAAGGACAGAATAGTCTTTTGATAGATCAGACAGGTATGTCCCAAGGGCTAAAATAAAGCTGTCCTAACCCTCTTCTTTTTCATATGTTCCTCGATTACTCCCTCCTTGACCATCATCTCTTATCCCCATTCTCTCTAGAACCAGAAGGATAAAAGTCTGTGGTGAACACAGAACAACAAAATCACTACCTAATTACTGCCAGAAAGAAGGTCTCCACGTTAACTATTTTAAAACCAAAGATGTCATTTTTTTAGTGTGAGTGGGGCACACTATAATATTTAACCAGCTTCTAGCCAGTAATTCTCTTGGATCAAGCCATCTAAGTGATACACAGGGAAGTCAGATATTCTGAGATGCATTCCTTAGATTTTGGGGGCTGTGGTTATTTAAAACAGTAAGCTGGGCATTTCGTGCTCACTTGAACATTTTCCCAGCATTTGTGGGACCCCACTGTCTGTCCATCCCCCTGTTGATGGAGTGGGGCTCTTCCTCTTTAAGACAGTTCTTATCCCTGCCCACGGATACTCACTGGGCTCAGAGCTCGGAGGGGAGGAGGTCTGTGGTTCCCTGCAGGCTTCTGAGGGGATGATCTGCCCTCCTGTGGCCTGGCTGGCCCCGGAGAGCAAGGCGACCAGGAGCGCTTCTTGCGTTTGGACCCTTGTCAGTGCCACAGAAGCTGCGTCAGAAAGACCGCAGCTGTGCAGGACTGCCTGTGGGTGAGTGGCCCATCCCTCCTGCAGAGGATGGGCTCTCAAAATGTTAGAAGTGGCAGAACCACTCTCCCACTTCTTTTTCTATTTTTTATATAAAATATCAAGAGCAAGTCCAGTATGTAGAACAGGTAAAAGTGGAGCTTCCCTGGCTGAAGCCAGGATCACGGACAGGGTGAGGGCAGGAGGAGACAGAGCCCCACCTCCAGCCCCCCTTGCTCTGTGAAGAGGCCAGAGTAGAACTACTTTCCAGAATCGTCCCTTCGAATCCTCAATGAGAAACAGCTCATACTGCAGGATATTGCTAAGGACACTGTGTTCCCCTCATACAGTTCTCCTTCTTTTCTAGAAGGATCCACAGAAGAAATTCTCACAGTCCTCACTTCCAGGAATCCTTGTGTGGTTTTTTATTTTATTTTTATTTTTGGAGGGGTGGGTAAATAGGTTTATTTATTTATTATTTTTAATGGAGGTTCTGGGGATTGAACCCAGGACCTCGTGTATGCTAGGCATGCACTCTACCACTGAGCTGTACCCTCCCCGCTTGTGTGTTTTTTGTTTTGTTTTGTTTTTTGGAGTACTTTATTTATTTTTTACTTTCTGAAGGCTCTGACTTATGTCCCTCTTTGCATCACCCCTTAGAAATCATGGAGCTGATTTCATAGGCTCTTAGTGGCAGTTTCTCAGGACGTCCTGGGACACCTCTTATGAACTGTAGACATTAAGTCAAGAAGCCAGGTATCATTTCTACCTTATTTTCTTTTTACTCTGATTTTCACTTTATTATTTACTGTTTTATTTATATTTTTATCCTTTGAATCTAATATAACTTACACTTACTAATCTTCTACCTTATACATGTGTGTACATCACCTCAAATGCTTTCTGGAATAAAATAGGATAAAAATGGATGCATGGATGCATAATTATATTAAAAAATAATGTAACCGATAGCCTTCAGCAACCATCGTGTGACTGCACTTACCTCATTGGGATGGAATCCATCAACGGGTTCGATGAGCTGCCAGGGCTGGCCGCCTCTCTTCCGCCACTCCTCCGTGACTGCAGGACACACAAGTGTGCATGCACGCGTGCGCACACACATGGTTAGAGACACTTCCACAAGCAGTGGTCAACAACCAAGAGCAAGGACTGTGAAAAAGGCTCCTTCCAGGCAGATGCTCACCCAGCCATGGCTGCCTCTGAGTCATTATCTCAGGCTGGGGGCTTTCTGAACAGAAATGGTCTTTCCATTGCATCCTTTTCCTAACTCATGAAGAAAAATGTGTGAGACTGTTGCATCAATTTGTATAGTGAGGAGGGCAGTGGGGGAAGGGTGAGCTCTAAGATAGTCAACATCGATGTAAGTCCATCTCATTTCTCAGTGGCCAGGGGCACAGAATTTCAGGAGCAGGAGGAGAAAATTAAACATTTTGTTAACATCTCTTTTCATGGGCTGCCATTTCCAGACACTGCCTGCATATGTCCAGCAATCGGCATTAAAATCCACATAGTTTGTCAGAAATAGAATTATGTAAAGTAATCTCAACATTGCATTTAGGGTGAGTATGGCTACGGGGAAAACATTATGAGCCCCCAAGTGATGAACAGCAATAAAACTGTCCTTCACTAGGGGTGAGAGACCAGGAATGTCAGTTGCCCCAAGGCAAGAGCACAATGAACTCCACATTGTAACACAATACAGTCAATAAGAACTCCTCAAGGAAATATCAAATCCCTAGAGAGCCTCCAGAGGGAAAAATCTGCAACCTGCCACCCGCAGTGCAGCCCATGCCCACACTTCCCCAGTGGATCCTACCCTTGGCCATCCATACCCTGTAAAATGCAGAGCCCTGGGGAAGCTTGTCTGGCCCTAGCTTCAGTTTGCCTGGCTCTTCCATTATTTGGGTGTGACCTTGGGATCAGATTTGCTGATTCAAGTTCAATTCTGGCTGCTCCGCCTTCCCCCCCGGGACCTGACACTTGAAGCATCTGTGGGTCCCAGACTGCCCTCCTGAGTGTGTCATGCTCCCAGCCAGCCCTGCTCATCCTGGCTCACCTGCCAGGTGTCCCTCCAGGCTTAGATCAGGCTGTTCCTTCTCCCCCTTGGCTGGAGGAGTAGACTCTTTTAGGGGGGATCTGGCATTTTTACTTTCTGACTTTATGCTGATTCTCTATCTGAGCCACTTCCAATCTGAACACCCCACCAATTACCCGTAATGGAGAATTGAGCATTCAGAAGTTTCTTCAAATAGAGAGTCAGTGTCACCCCTACTGAGCCCCCTCAGTGCTTTTTGTTCTTTTGTATGATGTGTCTCATCTCTGCCTTGCAGTCCCACAGGGTTTGCAATACAAAAATCAGCAATGATGTGGAAAGGCCCAGCCCAGGTGAGACTCCCTGTCCCCTCTGTGGCTTCAAAAATGACCTCACCTCCATTCTACTTGTGTCCCTTTACTTCACCCAAGCTTTCTATGAACTTTTCAGCCCTTTCTGCTTCTCCCCTTATTTTCAGTTTGGTTTTACCTTACGTTATACAAATGTTGAAAAGAGAAAGAAAAGAAAGAACGAAAGAAAATCTCAATCAGATGTTAAGAAATTCCCAGACCATGTTAAAAAGACAATGGAAATCTAACCCAGTCGAGACCTCAGGAGGCCTGCTGAAAAGCTGTGAAGAGCTGGATGAGTAAGACAGGAAGGTTGTATTAAAGAGACAGACAGCAAGCTGTGGGCCTGGACCACCCACACATGCTCTGACCCAGTGGAAGCAGGAAGTTCCTCACAACACTTTCTGACTCTTCACCTTTGCAGAGAAGATTGAGTCACAAAGTGAATCTAAACAGTGTGCCTTCACTGGCCAAGAGAACATTCAGAAAGGAATTATAGTGATCTGGAGGTCTGGAAAATCCACAGTGGAAAGCAAATTGGAGCCCATAAAGAAAACAGTTTAAGCCAAGATAGTATTCCTGGAGAGAAACGTTTGCTAGGAGCTCCATATTAAAAAGGCCAGACTTCCTTACACCCATGCTTCCTCTAGTGTGATTTAGTGCTGGCACCGAGGCTTAAAGTTAGCCTAGGCTGTTTCTGCTTTGATTTAAATTTTATGTGCTAACTACCAAACTAAAAAAAAAAAACAAAAAAAAAAACCCCAAAACTACAGCTCTTAAAGAAAGGGAGAGGTGGTGACAGATATTACATACTTCATGGAACAAATGGACATAATTCAGTCATCAGAATTAATGACTGTTTTTCAACATGAGAAGGGATGGTCATTCCTTCTACTCCCTTTAGAGGCCTGAACAATCTCACAATGTAGGGACTATGATAAGAAAACTGAGGAACAAAAGCATAAAGTAAAGGGATATTTAGTTGCCAAGTTTTACAAGGGAGCAGGGGCATACGCTGGGTGGGGGTGGGGCCAGTGGGAGCAGTCCATGTTCTACTGTCACCATACTCCAGTGATCGAAACCATGTCAGGGGTAACACAGTCCTCCCTGCCAGGAAACATGTTCCTGCTCCCCTCCCCGATGTTAGTGGACACTACAGGGAGTCCAGCCTTTAAAAGAGCTGGCTTATCATATAAAATAATCCAATAAGTATTAAAAAACATATCAATGCTTATCAAGGCTGCAGTCAGTCTATTTACAGTGGAAAACATCATTTTATCACGTGATTATTGTGTCTGTGAGGGTTACCAGTCATTGAATATCTGCAGACATCAGTATTATAACACTTGCAGGAAGAGTCAGTAACTCACAGGCAAGAGTTTAAGGTTTTACCTGTATTATGACCAGTGCTAGACAGAGTGACCCTTTTTAATTTGTTTATCTCAGGGTGAAATTTTGCTTTCTAAAAATAAATACAATACCAGACAGTGGTTTCTGTTTCTTCCCTGATTGACTTTAGAGTGGGAGGTCCAAGCAGGGTAGCATGGTAAGTTGATCAGTTTCATTCCTACCTGAGACCATGATTAAAAGTAGGTAAAAGAATTCCTATTTGTTCTCTGGAAAACCTGAATTAAAGTTCTTGGATGATCCTGAATGATCTCTTGGGGTTCAACATATAATATATTTTCTTTATTTGTAAAGTCGAAGAAACTCTGCTAATGACCAGTTCTTCAGAGATGCAATAGAAGGAGAAGGTTCATAGAACCCTTGGTAGCTCCTTGATGAACAATAACATTAACAAATATTTTAAAAGAGAAATCTGAACTCTGGTCAGCACCCTCAAGTCACTGGTTGTTCTCACAAACATACACATGGGGGGAACTAAGAACCAGGTTTATGCCAATTGAGTTGTCTGAGAAACTGAGGGCAGCTGGTGATATATTTAAAGTGTCAGTGGAAAAAATGGACTTGTCAGCCAAGTGGCATTTTCCTTCCTCTGTCTGGGAGGTGTGGTACAGATGAAGAAAAAGGACATCACCTGCTCAAGCTGTCATTTCCCGAAGGGAGGAAAAACTGCTGCCTCTATTTAGTCCATAACCAGTTAGAGGATGAGTCAGCAAGAGACAAAAAAAAAAGCCTTTGGGGGATGAGCAGTCATCTCATCTTTCGGTGCTGGGCTGAGGCTATCAGAGTGGAGAACAGATAGGTCTCGTGTCTGCCCTCAAGGGACAGGGACCCTCAACTGTAATTGCTCTGTCACAGGGTGTAAAATTGTAAATTTCATATGAAAAATACTTGTGATGCAATCGTCTGCTCAACTACAGTACAGAAATGAGAGCAGGGATTTTCGTGTGACTACTAAGACTCCAGACTTAATAAGTGACTCTATAGGGTTTTTATTTCTGATGAAAGGGGGCAGTGTGATAATGAGATGCATTTCTACCATAGCCACCTCTGAGCAACTCAAAGAGATCCAGAGGCATGACTGGTGATGGGAGAGGGGCTAGACACTGAAGGAGAATAAACATCTATTACCCATCTGTCGTAAGCCCTGGAAGAATGCAGTGGGTGCTTTACATACACGGATGACGTGGGAGGTGGGAGGATGTCCGCTAACAGGTACTGGAGTCCTTTCTATGTTACAAGTGTTGTCTCAGCCCTTACACAGTCCCCAGGGTTTAGTTATTACTACCTTCTACAAAAGGAAGCAACACCTGAATGGTTAATTTGCTTGAGGTTATTAGCTATTCTGTGTCTGAGTTGGGATAGGAACATAGGTCTACCTGGTTGTAAATGCTGGGCTTTTTGTATAATTGCCTATTACCTACGTGAGGTAGACCAGATTTCCAGGACGGTGAGCTACTCAGGTGTGGGAGGTGACCCATGGAGATGGGTGTGGGAGTCGATGCTCCCCCTGCCTGCTCTGGAAGGCACTAAAATCTCAAGGTAAGAATTCCCTTTGCAGTTGTCTAACACCAGGTGTAAGGCAAGCCCTTCTCACAATTCCTGATAATTAGATAAAAATCCCAGCTCTTTCAGAAGTGGACGTGGTGGTATGTAGACATTAAAAGCATGATGCTGTATCAGATCGCAGGGCACCACTTCCTCTGCCTCCACTCTCTCTCCCACTGTGTCCATTCACCACTAGTGGAGACAAACTTCATATGGAGGTGAAGAAGGCCCTGAACCAAAATTGGATCCTCACATGTATTTTTAATAAATGTCAGGAAATTACAAAATCTCAGAAAATTCCTTGAACTGTTGATGAGAACTGCCAGATGAGAAATATCTAGTAGGTTTCTCAGTAAGGTGGCCTACTGCCATGTTGATGCAGAATGTTCAGTTCAGTTCAACTAAACTTTTTGCTTTTTTACTACATTTATTGCTGTGAGGACCAGAATGGGCTGAGGAACCTCTGCTTCCAAGCATGTGGACTACTGACCAGTACTGGTTCAGGGATAAAGCTTTTCCCCCTATATCTTTCACGAGGAGAAGGACTCCTCTGTTTTGTTAACGATATTCCTAGCACCTACACAGCACATAGTAGTGCTTAGTAAAAATCTGATGAATAAGTGACTAAAAAGTCTTAATCTTGGCACATAATAGGAGCCCTATTTATTAAATTTTAACATTCATATGGATTATCTGTAAATTATGTACAGATGCAGATTCTGATTAGGTAGGTCCTAATTAGGAGTGGGGCCTGGGCTTCTGTATTTATAACTAGTGTCCAGGTGTCTGGATGCTGCTCATTCTGAACCATGTGTTGAGTAGCAAGGGTGTGAGGGAATGGTGCTCTTTCCTGGTGCTGGCTATGTACCAGGTGTGGCATCAGGAAGATGACACATGATTTCATACAGTCATCACAAAGACTTGTTATATAGACGTGGTGACCCCATTTCCAAGTCTGGAAAGGAGAGTTTAGGGAATTGTCAACAATCCCAAAGATAATAAATGGCAGAGCTAGAGATGACTGTGGAAAATGAAAAAGTCTCAAGTGAATGTTAGGCATTATTATATTTTTAATAACTTTATCTATATTCAAGGTTGATGATGATCAAAGAACACTTGGTGGTGCAGTTGTTTATACCAGGAATTCATTAATGAGGCTTTAACTCTGCATTTTAATGAGAGGTTATTTATCAAAATGTCTCTCCCCATGAGAGAAGTATGTATCACCTAGGCAGGAAATCTAGTTAAGGGCGATCAGTCTTGTTGAAAAGATGTTCAGAATTGAAGTACTAGACTCTACAATGAGAAACATGTCAGCTAATGTAATGTGTGATAATTCATGATGGCCATCTGCTTCATCCCAGATGATGGGGCTGGGGGAGTTGTGGTGGGGAGACAGAGATGATAAACTGTACGAGAAATCATCCATCCTTTGCATACATTGTAAAGCTTTTCATTAGCATCGTCTCAGCTGGCAGTCAATCAACAGAGGCTTTTCTCTTGTAACATTAGTGCTTAGCAATGAAAATGGGACTGAAAGGATTAAAATCAATAGATAATAATTTTTCAGAGTCAAGATGTAAAGGATAGATCAGTAGCTCCAGTAATCATGTCTGCTTCCTTATGGCCACTCATTCGTGATCCCAATGTTTGGACAGAATGCTGGGAAAGAAACAGTAATGTTCTTTCCAGAAAGCTGGGATATGGGTGGTCCACTTTGCCACGGGCAGCTGAAGTCCCTCCCTCTGCAACTCTGATTAGCTTCCTCATCTGTGGGGTCTGGGAGTCTGCATTGTTTTGAGTCCTCAGGTAATCCAGTGCCCAGTAGGAGAGACACTGCCTTTTCCTTCATTCCTGTCACATTCATCTTTAGCCCGTCTGTAAGCGGGGCATTGCTGAACTGTCAAGAGTTAAGTTAGGTGATTCCATTGACCTGTTGGCTCCCAGCCCAAAGCTGTTTCCAACTGGCCACTGGCTCTGTGTCTTCAAGGATTCTAAAATAATGGTGAAATAAGGAGGTGATGCTGAGCTTCTACCTTTCCAGAAAGAGTCTCACACTTTATCTTTTTGCAATACTCAGAGCTATTAATGTGTCCGAATGGGCAGAAGCCACCCTGCCCAATCTACTGCCTGCTGGCTTGTAAATAAACGCCTTGCCCAGGCAGGCTCTAAACGGCAGCCGCTGCTTTTGTCTTGTGCCAATACATAAACCAAGCAAAACTTACTTTCTTGGAAGTCAAAATCCACGTAGAAAAGATTGAAGTTCATAAATTTCTTGCTGGTTGCAATTTTTTTCAGCGTAGCAGAGAGTTGTTCTGCTCTCTGAATACAAAGGAAACGGAGAATCTCATGAAACCAAGACTTAGGCTTGAGGGAGACAATTCAGGCAGAACAAAGAAATCAATAGTCCTCACCCCCACTGCAAGCCATCCCCAGAGAGCAGCTCTGCATATGAAATTCTGTTCATGCACAAGTGGCCAACGAACATACAAAACTGTTAAAATTCATTAGGATCCAAATCAGTGCAAATTACAGTAACAAGATACCACTTTCTCCTGATGGGATTGCAAAGAAAAGATGAACAGTCATGATAATAAAGAAAATTGCCATGGGACATGCAACTGAGAATGTCAATTTGTTTAACCTTTCTCAAGAGCAATTTGGTGATATAGATCAAATCTTTACACACAGTGTATTCTTTGACCTAATAATTTTCTAGGAATTTGTCTTGAGGATATAGACATGGTACACAAATACATTCATCTTCATATATACAAAGGTTCATCACAATGCTACTTATCATAGTGGAAAATGGAATCAACCCGTATGTCCAACACCAAGGGATGAAATAAATCATGGTACGTTCATATGCTGTCTACTCTAAAATGATTAAAAAATTATGATGTGGAGGAATAATTATGAACATCAGAAGGCAGCAAACAGTATGTATAGTATGATACTAGGTAGGCAGAAACCCAAAAGTGTTTGTAAGATATTGGACACACACATATTAACTTTGGATGATGGATTTTTTGAGTGATTTTTGTTACTGTTTTTTGTGCTTTTTTACAATCTCCAAGTTTTTTTAATTGAAATATATTTATATTTATAAAAAAGACAATAAATTCCTTACAAAGAGATTATTTACTATCCATGAAATAAATGTGGGGAACAGTGGGTTTTCTCAGAGAAGAGAGGAGGCCTCTGGGGCACCTGGTCCTCTTACCTTGGGAAAACTCCAGCCATATGTAGGGCTAACCTTGCTCACTTCTCTCTGCCTCTACAAACATGATGGACCAGCTTTCAAAGGTGTTGTGTGTGTGTGTGTGTGTGTGTGTGTACATGCATGTATTCGTTTAGGAGAGACAGGCACACACAGAGACAGTGACTGAGAGACACGGTAATAACAACAGACCCAGGATGAGGCAGAAGGAGGGAGACCCACGTTCTCCTGGCTCCTCAAACATCCGGGAGTTTGATTTTTTAATTCACCAGCTTGGAGGCCATCGCCCTGCCAAAATCCCATCTCCACCGAAAACACTGCAGTAAACACAGACCATCAAAGATGGTATCAAAGGGCCTGCGACAGTCCTACCTCTGAAGTGAGAGTCCGGAGCGTCTTGTTGGAAGACATCCAGCCGTGGCAAGGGCTGACCTGGGAGCAGGAAAACACTTCGATTACAGAGTAACAGCGCCGGGCGTTGGGGATGTGGCCTTGGAACAAGTCAGTGTGAGCTCACCTGGAGACAGTTGAGGAAGGAGTAGAAATGCGCGTAGGTCACGTCCTGATTGAGCTGGCCTGGAAAACAGAGAGGTCTGACATGTTGCAGGCACTCAGATGTAACAGCCAACTGGGACCCTGGAGGGTGGGCCTGCCTCCCTTGCACAAGGCTGGCGCCTCCGGGGACCTACCCTGGTTTGCAATAGCGTGGCTTTTGAGATGCCTGTGCTTTCCTTCTTTCTGAGCCCCTCTAGAAATTCAGACTCCGAGTTGAGGAGGGGCCGTAAGGAGTTTGTTCCCATCTTGAGCTCTTGGCATGAGCTCTGGCAGGGTGTGAGGGGCCCGACCTTATCCGGACCCCAGGTGGAGGGACCAGAACACCACTAACAAAGGACCTTGAAGAGTAGGGACTTTCTCTTTGCAATGGTATAAACGCCAAGTCCTCGTGGGACCCAGGGAGACTTCAAAGGTGATAGTTGACCAAACCCTCCTATGTTTATGAAACACTCAAGTCTGACCCAATTATGCTATGCTGAGGGCCTGCCAGGATATTGGAGTTTCTGAAGGTCTGGCCACACACTGCCACGCAGTTTGATGAAGGGAAGGTCTCCCCAACTGCTTGGGGAGGCTAGCACATTATATCCCTGCATGGCCCAGCAGTTATCTTATTTGAGCCCTAATGAGTAGAGAGGTTTCATTTTTGGTGCAGATTAAAGAGGTACATAAAAATAAAGGTTGTAAGCACCAAATGCGAGTCCATCCAGAGCCTTGCCTAACACCAAGTGCAGACACCGAATCTGCAGGAGTTATTTATTCTCTCTACTCACCTCCCCCCACCCCCACCCTGCCCCGTCCCTTCCAGCACGTCCACCCCGAGAGGCAATTCAACTCTCATGCTGTGGCACAAAATCCAGGCTCTCGGAAATCTCCGGCGCAAGTGATGGATGTCTCGTCCATTAACACTTCTCTCACGCTCGAAGAAATAAAGGAAAATAATAGGGCCTACCTCGGAGCGAGGAGAAAGATTGAAGGTGATAGCACACAGTCTTATTTTTCACTTAGACCTCAGATCAGTTAGACTGAAAGATAGATTCAATTTTCTTGTCATGGAGGAAAAATATATTACCTCTCTGTGTAGGTGAGTGAATCCCAGGATTGGAAAACCACAGGCTTATTATCGCCATTAAAGTCACAGTGACATGCTGGGCCTTTTCTGTGCTCCCTAAGTGTCTGCATTTTCCCAGGTTAGATGAATCCCAAGCCACTGGCTTCTTTCTTCACTTTCATTTTATGGGCTCCACATGGAGCCCTGAGCCCCCATCTTTCTCCAAGATACTGCTTCCCACCACCGAGGCTGCTTTCCCTCTTTTTTGGTGTGTGTGTGTGTGTTTGTAATTTGCCTCCTTTCTGTATGTGTCCCTGCCTGTCTCAGCTCAGCCCAGCTGCAGTGACTGACACCTCCAGTCTGCGCTTTTCACCCTCAATGGTCCCCAGATGACTTGACACGTGCCCCCTGCTGGCACAGCCCCAGAGCCGCCACCTTTCCCCCACCATCTTGTTTCTTTGTTATGACTGGGGCCTTGTAATAAATCTTAGGTAGGTTGGCTGGGGCCCTGACCCCCTGCTTGGCTGTGACTCTCACCCAGTGGCCTCTCTCTCTTTCCTCCTCCCAGCGGCTGAAGTCTCTTCAACCTGAGGGAGGTGGCACCTCATGCCTGACCATGAGTAACACTCCTGTACCCTCCCCCTCCCCACCTGCCAGACTGCACTGCTCTGATATCCAGCGGGACAGGAGTTTAGCCCCCTTCTGGATGCTGAGTACTCAACTGCTGGCTCCCCCTTGGGAGCCAGTCCCACCAGAGCCTTGTTCCATCTCGGCTCACTCCCCTCTTCCTGCTGTCCTACTGCTGAAGTCCCAGCACACCTTAGGATGGGACCACAAAGCATATCCTCCTCCTGGACCTTCTCCTGATCCGTCCTTTCCTCTC